TTTTTGTCCATTTTAAATCATAAAATTGAATTTTAACGGCAAAAACAAAAACTGTTTTTTTTTTCTTAGAAACACTCATGCAATGTGAGATTTTATTTTCCTTTATAGAGGTTGTTAGTTTGTTACCCTATACGTTGAGGGCAGGGGATGGATCCCGATGCCAATATAACTGAACCAAACAAGTGGTATGGGTTCAAGTGATTCCAAACCCAGGTTAAACCCGTACTTTGAAGCGAACCAAGTACCTTCTAACATAACTCAATCATATTCTTTTTCGTTAGGTGTACATTTTCATTCCAGATATGAGAAAATAAATACATAATTTTTCCGGATTATAAACATGCATTATTTTTTTTTTTATTTTTTTGAAAGAATAAACATGCACAAATTTGATTGGTCTATCTTTCTCTTTAAGGTTTATCACCTGGGAATTTATACTTTGGGATACACAGATAAATTTAACTATGTATATTTTCTATAGAAAAAAGGGTAGAAGTAAGCATTTTATAAGGATTTTTTTTAATAATAATAATAAATAAATAAATAAATAAAAAAAGAGCAACCCAATCAAAATATAGGAAAGAAATTGTAAATATGTAATGGAGATATTTTTCATGTATAACTCTAGAAAGCAACCTGCACCAAAATGGTGTCCTAGGATCATAAAAAGGGGTCAGTCAACCAAATCAAGTCAACTTATGTTTCCTCAAAACCGAAGACTGAATGATTGAATAAAAACAAGCACTAACTTAATTAATTAGGTGGGGATTGGATTATGAAAGAGATGTTCATTATGGTTATCTAGGATCATTTAAGCTTGCTTCAAACCAATTGCTACGATTTATGTCCTCGTCTGCCTTCAGTTCAGCAACTAACAACAATCTCCCTCAACTGTCATGTTTAGACAGAATTATTTTCCTATACATTTCACTGATGTTATGTCTATCTGAAGTAGATAATTTTTGTAATTAGTTTCGCGCTGTCATGAAGAGGCATTGTTGAAAATGTCACGAGTAGCTTATGTACTGTAAATTGACTGCAAGTTAATGCCCCAGTCCACAAGATGCAATTATATCTTTTAACTTTGGAATTTTGAGTCTTAAGTAGTGTATTGTTTCTTTTAAGATTTTTCTATATAGTTGGACTCAATATGATGGAACTTTTTGGGTTCATCAATAGTGATCAGTCAAATGAAAAATGCAGGGAAAGTATACAGGGAACTTGTCGGAAGTGCATACTATCTAGCGCCAGAGGTTTTGGAACGCAACTATGGTAAAGAGATAGATGTGTGGAGTGCTGGAGTCATTTTATACATTCTTCTAAGTGGAGTTCCTCCCTTTTGGGCTGGTAAGCATATACTTCCTGAAACTGAATTCGACATGTTTCATGCTGCTTAGCGAAAGTTATAAGATTCTTATAGCAGCCTATAGAGGTGTTATAAGGATCAAGTGATTATGCATTGTGAGGGGATACTTGCTTCATTTCATTTATCTGCATTCTGTAATTTGTCCTTCTCATCTCTTTGGTTCTGATTCATAGTGTTTGCGACTGTTTCAGAGACTGAAGCTGGGATTTTTTATCAGGTCAAGAACGGGAAGCTTGACTTGAGTACACATCCATGGCCTTCAATTTCTGCTGGTGCCAAAGACTTAATTGCTAAAATGTTAGAGAGAAATCCTAAGGCGCGTATAAGTGCTGCAGAGGCACTTGGTATGTATTTTTTTTGCTCGACTAAGGTTTTGATAACAGGAAAAAACTGCTTTTGACTGCCCACAATTGACATGTTACCTGTGAATCAGAACATCCATGGCTCAAAGAAGACAGTGATGCTTCTGAGAAACCTATTGACAGTGCGGTTCTTATTAGGATGAAGCAGTTCAGAACAATGAACAAACTCAAGAAGCTTGCTCTCATGGTAACATTAACATATATTCTAACAATTCCAAATTCCTATATATTGTTATAACATCTATTGTATAATCGATTAAATCCGAGATTTGTTAAGCTAGTTTGATTGATTTGTTATATTTTTTGTACTTGTTTCTTGATAATGTGAATTTGATTGATGAAGGTTATGGCAGAAAATCTGTCTGATGAAGAAATCAAAGGTTTAAAGGAAATGTTCAACAACATTGATACTGACAGAAGCGGTACAATTACTATAGATGAACTTAAACATGGCCTAGCAAGGCTTGGCTCAAAACTCACCGAACTTGAAATAAAGCAGCTAATGGATGCAGTAAGAAATCGATCAACTATTAGAATTTGATAATCAATAATTCTTCTTTTCAATATTTTGAAAGTAATGCATATAATTTATAGAATCCTTATAAATCATACCTACGCGTCCATATTAATTAAGTATTGTGTTTTCTGTCAGGCTGATGTTGATAAGAATGGAACTATTGATTACATGGAATTCATTTCTGCTACTATGCATCGGCATAGATTGGATAAAGAAGAGAACATGTACAAGACTTTCCAGTTCTTTGACAAGGATGGCAGTGGGTTAGTATGCTAGAACATGCATGATCTTTTTTCCATGTTCTGTTTTTCTTAGGAAAAGATAAAGTTATACTCCCTCCGTTCCAAAATATATATGGCTATCAACCAAATATATATGTTTTCGTTCGATATTGTAGGTATATAACAAGAGATGAGCTGAAACAGGCAATGACAGAATATAGAATGGGAGATGATGCAACTATCGACGAAATTCTTGATGATGTTGACACTGACAAAGTAAATTTTTCTTTCTCAACTTTGTTTGCATCCTTGTGATTTCTATATGTTTAAGCTGTGATTCAACGATAGGCTTGTTATATGAATGATGTTTGGGGTGCTGTGTGCAGGATGGAAATATAAATTATGAGGAGTTTGTAGCAATGATGAAGAAGGGCACACCAGATTCTGATGGAAGGAAAAATGAGTTGTTTGTGTATAAGTGAAGGGTGAAGGGGAGCTAAATTTAATTATTTGTGCCTTGTATATTATTGCTCTGATTATCTTCTCGTTACTTTGTAAGGCTCGTTGCTGTTTCCTAAGATTAATAAGCTGCATATTTGTTACAAAACTTCATCAAAATCTCATAAATCATGTATGTTTACTTTCTATTACAGTTAGATATATGCAAAATTTCAACTATAAATCCCACAAATTAAAGTATGTGGTAAGTCTCTTGGATTAAGAAACTGTTTTGCATTAACTATTGTTTCGGATGAAAACAATTTGTGGTGGGCTGAAGACTGGACTCGGCCCAAGTGATGGTTTCCTGCACAGCAAACACACGTAAACTGGCCTCGGTAGTTGCGCCGAGGAAGGCCCCTCCAATGCCGAAGTCAGTACAGTGCTTAGAGAGACAAAGCTAGAGTATTAATTGCTTGAGGCTTGAATTGAATGAATGTAGAGAGAGGAGAATGAAGGCTTTTATACCTTTCTTAATAGATAAATGGGCTTGACATGTTAACTGGACCTTTGACTGGCTTGGCACTTAATTGGAGAGTTGAACCTTGCTTTTGGGCTTTGTAATTGTGCCATTTGAGGACCGGCCCAATTAAATTAAATTGGACCCAAACAACTTGCCCCCAGACCCGATTAGGAAGCATGATGAAACAGGTTTGACTTGCAAAATGGAGAGAAGCCAAATGGCTTAATTAACATTTAAATTTGGTGGTTACTGAGGCAATAACGGTTATTTTTTGAAGTAATGGGGAAGTTGGATGGTTTAGTGGGCGGTTAATTAGAGAAGAATATGAACAGCTGAGCATTGAAGTGGACTTAGTGGGGGTTTTAGTGGCGCGGGCTCCCGAAATTCCCGTTTTTGGAAGGTACTTAAGCCACTCATCCCACATTTCTCTTTATTTCCTTTCGCTAATTCACATTCACTTCTCGCTAATCTCTGCTACTAACCCAATTTCCTTTTTCCGCTTATTCTCAGCAATCCGAAGTCTTAAACTGAAATTCGTTGCTCCGAACTTATAGATCAGCGAATTCCGCGTCTGGTAAAGGTAATTTTCATGAAATTTTCTTCGATTTTCTTTGCTTTTTCAAACACCCCTCTTTTTTCGACTTCTTGAACCACCGCCGTTTAGAATGGCCAGCGACCGCGAGAAAATAAAGATTGAGGCTGGTGAAAATGCTGAGGAAGAGGAGGAGGTTCCTCAGCTAATTTTGCGGCGAAATCGGCCCTTGGGGTTAATGCCGCCGCTCAGCGACCAGAATCCGAGGGCGAGGACAGGCGCTACTGCCGCCCCTAGCAGCTCTGCCATCCGGGCTATCCCGATAAGCTCTTTGCCCCCGAGGGCTTCAGGGTCGACTAGCACCTCTGGCCGAAGTGCCGGTTCGGCGTCTCGGACATTGCCTCCTGAGGAAAGGGAGTGGCTGGATTCGGCCTATAACTCGAGCATTATGGCCTATCGGCCCTACACTTGGTGTACTGAGAACAATGCTGAGTGCCACTTTGCCGAGCAAATTGAGATTTGTTACGACATTATGGAGTCTGACGGGTACTTCGGCTAAGAGGATTCATCGTGCGCCCCCAGGCTATATTAGGGTTTACATCCGTCAGCTGCAGTACGGGCTTCGGTTCCCGCTTCATTCTTTCATTACCTCGGTGCTGAACGGGTATAACAGTACATTTCGTTGTGCCAGTTGACTCCCGTGAGCATCCAAAGGATAATAACCTATCTTTGGGTCTGCCTGTTTTTGAGGTTTCGGCCGAACGTTTATTGCTTTCATCATATGCACAAGTTGGTCCGGAATACTCAGGAAGACCGATTTCATGGCCCTGGTTGGTGGCAGATTGAGGATAAAAAAGGGTATCTTTCGGTCTAGCCGAACGACACCTCAGACAAGGACTGGAGGGGTCAGTGGATTTGGGTGAGGGCTCCCCAAGACGAGGATCACCCTAACTTTTTAGTGCGCCAAGATATTTGAGGCGCCCCGATCCGGAGATGAGGAGTATCGGTCCTGCTGAGTTTTCCGATGCGGACCGAACGCAGATGACGCATTTTGGCCGATCTCCTAGCCAGGGGGCCACAGGTCGAATGGCGAATGTGCCCTCCGTCTGGCTGCCCTGTTGCCATTATATCTTCCAAGAGAAGATTCTCGTTGTCGTCGACCTCAGCCAAAAGTTCCAGAACGGTAAGGAGCTCGGCTGGGGCCGAAGACTTAGTTTTCTACTTTTGCTTTTGCTTATTTACTTTCTTCGGGGAAACTCATTGCTATTTTTCTTTTTCAGAAGTGTGCGAGGAGTACTCGAGTGTCAACTACAGGGTGCTTAGGATTAGCCAGGAAAAGGATACCCTTACAAATAAGCTGAAGATCGCCAATACCCAAGACCGTCCTCTTAGCTTGGTCGAGAAGAGGCTTCAGATTGTCAGCGCGGCTGAGTATCAGGCACAGAAACTTTGGTTCAAGAAGGTCAACCCTTATTTTCTCCACTCAGCTGAAGAACAAGTCGCTGCGACTATCGCCGCTGAGGCCTCTAGAAGTGGAGTTGGGCCTTCTATTCCTGCTGCCGAGCCGAAAGCAGGAGGAGAAGAGGTCGAAGAAGAAGAAGATTCTGAAGACGCTCGTCTGCTGAAGACTTCGGTGAGTCCTTGGACTTGTCTTAATTTGCTTCTTCCTTCTTTTCTCCTTGCTGTTTTTTTTTTTTTACTCGAACGAGTGTGACTCTTTGCCCCTTTGTTCTTTCTTTTGTAGTCCGACGAAGAAGAAGAGAACACAGGAGAGCCAATTGAGGCTGCTCAAGTAGAGTCAACTTCGGACGAATCATCTTCAGACGAAGAAATGTCGGGTCCGAAGAGGAGAAGGGTCGTTCTCTTGCCTAGGCAGCTTCGAGCTGCCCCAGTCCCTGCGAAGAAGCCTCAGACCGATCGAGGAGCCAAGTAAAGAGAAGAGTCCTCCTCCCCCGAGACTCGGGACGAGGAGGTGCAGCAAAAGACTCCCACCCATGAGGTTCAGTCCATGAACTAAACTCCTCCACCATCTCCTCGGCATGTGGCTGAACCTTTTGCTGATGAGGTTCAGAAGGAAGCTGATACGCTGATTATCCATCCCGAGGATGATGATGTGCAGACTTTGGGTGAGATTCCCAAGGATTTTAATGCTGAGGGTCTGAAGGAGACTGAGAAGAAAGTTGAGGATGCGAAGAACTTCGACATGCCTTCGACTTCGGCAGGCATCTCCTTCAAGACTTTCCAGTCTGTTAAGATGGGGTTTGAGTCTGCCCGCTTGCTGGTAGTTCTTGATGCTGCTAGGAACGCTCTTCGATCTCACCGAGCCTCAGCAATTGAGTTCTTCGGTGACCTGTCTAGCCTATCTGATTTAGAGAAGGCGAAGATTTGGTCTCTTCGGGCCGTAGCTTGGGTATCTGAGCCCTTCGTGAGGTTCCAGATCCATTTGTCGAGAATCAAAGGCTGCTGATGCAGGTAAACTTGTTTTTACTGAAGTTTTTTCACTGAGGTTTTTTTTACACTTAAACTTCGGCTGGTATATCTTCAAACCTTACAGGTCGTCCACAACCATTACTTGGTTGTGGAGATGAACGAAGAGCTTAAGTTCAAGCTTAAGGACGTTGAACTCCGAGCCAACATTGTTGGGCTCAAAAGAGAAGCTGCCGAAGAAGAGGCTACTGCAGCCAAGGCCGAGGCGGACAGGCTGCAGAGGAACGCTGACATCGTCCTCCAGGATCTGGAGCAGCACATTTTCCCCTTGATGGATCAGGGGGGCGAGCTATTGAAGAGATTTAAGGTCGAGGATATCCCTAGCTTTGAGTCTCGGATCAGGAGATTCAGGATGAGAAAAAGAGAGAGCTCGACGCTACTGAGAAGGAGACGCTGAAGAAACAAACTGAGTTTCGAAATGAAATTCAGCAGCTCCAAAATGAGCTGGATGCTAAACATGAGGAATTCTCCAAGGCTCAGGACGAGCTGAAGCGTGCTTAAGATCAACTGAAAACTCAAGGAGAGGAAGCTGCCAAGACTCAGGCTGAACTTAAAGCCGCTCAAAAGCTGCTGGAATTCCGGGTTTACACCCAAGAGCAAAACGAAGAGGGCTTTGAGAATGGCTTCAAGGTTGCTCGACGTCTGGCTTTCCATGTTGATCCCGCCATCAACTGGGAATTGGCTGAGGCGTGGTCCATGGACCCGCAGGACGTTCACATGAATGAGGCTAGTCCAGCTGAGACTATTTTCCTAGCTCACCAAGCAAAAGCTGAGGCTCGGGAACAAGAGGAAGCCGAGAGGCTTGAGAGGGAGGAAGCTAAGAAGAGAGAGTCTGAGAGGACTCTTACTCAGCCTGTCTCTTCCTTTGCTGATGCTGAAGCTTCAAGGAGTCCGAGCATAGCTGCTCAACCTGATCATGTTAATGCTGAAGCATAGGAACTCGGGCAGTCGTCTACAAAGTCTTGCGGATCAACTTATGCTTAATTCTAACCTTTGTCGCGCCTTTTTTTACCTTTGAATCTTTTGCTTCAGCTTGCCTTGATGTACAAACTCTTCGCTTGTTTTTTGTTTTTGAGTAGTTGTACTTAGTTCAACAGCTGTAAATTTTTCCGCTTGTGGGCGGCTGCCGACTTAGGATGTTTCTTTATCTATTCTGAAACTTTATTTGATGTAGCTCAGAGATCTGGGCATAGATGATTTGCTATGAATGCACCGCTTTCTTTTCTTTCCCATTGCCTTGCTCTTTCCTTCTACTTGGCCTAGTTGCTTTTTTTTCGCAAATTTTGCAAAAATTTTCTAAGTGTTGAGCTTCGGCTTGGAATTATCACTTAGCAGAGTGCTTCTTGCCCCCCAGAAATCTAAAGTTGTAATCAACAGGTTTCTAAGGTGCTTGCTTCAACTTTTTAAGTGTGAACGAAGCTTTGCCTTAGCAAAATTTCTAAATACAAAGTTTTTGAAGTTTCTGCTCTTTTCCTTTCTCTTCTTCTTTTTTTTTTGTGAAGAATCTATGAGTTTGTTGCTTAGAAGTCTTAGACTCCAAGAGCAATAATCTCTCGGTCCTTAGAATTCATCCGAGGGAATGACTATCCGAAACACAAGGCCATCATTCTGGCAATGTCTCCGATATAACTCCTCTGAAGGACTATGCCAATTTTTAGGCTATGTTTCAGATTCGTCCACGGCCTCTTTACCCCAAGGAACTAATTTATCCGAAGTACAATGCCCTGAAATGGCTATACTTCGGTGGTGAAATCATTGTTCCCTGTTTGGCAAGTTTGACGGCAATCCAAAGTATAACGCCTCTGCTTGGCTATACTTCGGACAGTGCCGAAGGGAAACCTTTTTACGAAAAATGTAGAAGACAGAAAAATAGAAACTTGCTAAATTGATAGAAACAGTGGCTCAAAGGCCCTTCATTAAATCATAAAGATGCCCTTACATAGATTGTTCTCCCCCGAAGGGCTTATACATGATATTTTCTCAATACATCAGCATTCCAGTGGTTTTTCAGCTCGGTTCCGTCCAATTGACAAAGTCGGTAGGTCCCAGGCTGAAGTTCATCATAGATTTCATAGGGTCCCTCCCAAGTAGCTGAGAGTTTCCCATGAATGCGGCTTTTTTGTACAGCTGCAGCATTCCGAAGAACCAAATCTCCAATTTTAAGCGGTCTTGCATTGACCCTTCGGTTGTAGAATTCGCTGATTCTTTGCTTTTATGCAACCATTCTGTCTCGGGCCGAGTCTCTGAACTCATCTAGAAAATCAAGGGATTCTTTCATGAGCTGTTCATTTTTCTTAGCCGAGAAGAGATTTACTAGTAGACTTTCTACGCCGATTTCCACTAGAAGGACGGCTTCGGACCCATACACTAGCTCGAAAGGTGAATGCCCCGTAGCCTTTTTTTCGGTTTGTTCGAAGTGACCAAAGGGTTCCTCGGAGTTCCTCTATCCACTTGGACTTTTGATCCTCAACTCTCTTCTTAAGGGCGTTGAGAATCTGCTTGTTTGCAGGTTCAGGTTAACCGTTACTATGCGGATGACATACCACAGAATATGCCAACTTGATGCCGAATTGATCAGTGTACAGCCTTAGCGGCAAATTATCAAATTGCCTCCCATGATTGAAGACAAAGACCTTCGGGATTCCGAAGCGAGTGATAATATTCTACCAGATGAATTTCTTGACAGTTTGCTCTGTGATGTTCGAGGCTGCTTCGACCTCAATCCATTTACTGAAATAGTCAATGTCGACTATCAACCATCTTTTTTGGTACGGAGCATCGGGAAATGGCCCCAAGATATCCAGCCCTCATTGGGAAAATAGAAGCGGGTTTAGGATCGACTAGAGATCTCGGGCTAGCTGATGGGTGACTAGTGCGAACTTTTGACATTTTTCGCAATTTCTGACCAGCTCCTTAGCATCTAGGATCATGGTGGCTAATAATACCCTGCTCTCAATGCCTTGTGGGCTAATGTTCTTCCCCCGATGTGGTTTCCACATATGCCAAGGTGAATCTCCCGAAGGATGTAATCGACATCTGTTGGTCCCACACATTTCAGTAGTGGGGCTGAGAAGGATTTTTTCAGCAGCTCTCCTCTGAAGACAATTAATCGCGAGCTGCTTTGCTTCAGCTTGGAGGCTAAGTTTTTGTCTTCGAGAATTTCTCGCCGAAGTTTGTAAGCTAGGATGAGGTCCATCCAGCTCGGTTCGTGTGTGACGTAGCAAACTTCAGGTACTTCATCCACACTTCTTTCTCGCCACACTTCCACATATACAGATCGATTCAGCTCAGTTAGAGTTGAACTTGCAAGTTTGGAAAGTGCATCGGCTTGCGCGTTCTGACCCCTTAGGATCAGCTCGGCTTCAAAAGTTCTCAGCTTCGCAATTATTGTTTTGATCTTTGCGAGGTAAGCAATCATTGAGGGCTATTTGGCCTCATATTCGCCTCGAATCTAGTTTGCGACGAGCTGAGAGTTTGTCTTTAGACAGACATGTTCGACTTCCAATGATATGCACAACTTTAGGCCAGCAATTGCTGCCTCGTACTCTACCTCGTTGTTCGAAGCTCGGAATGAAAATTTTAGTGCGTACTCAAAGTACTTGCCTTCGGGAGAGGTGAGTACTACCCTTGCCCCCGAACCATTTACAATGGAGGATCCATCCATAAAAATGGTCCAGGTTTTCTTTTCTTCTTCTAGCGTTTCCTGGTAGAAGCATTCAGCGAGGAAATCTGCTAAAGCTTGAGCCTTAATGGCTGTCCTTAGTTGATAAATGATGCTGAATTCGGTGAGCTCGAAGGCCCACTTTGCCAACCTGCCAGATTTTTCAACTTTGCCGAGGACTTTTTCCAACGGCTGATCAGTTAAGACCACTATTTGATGACAATCGAAATAGGGCCTCAGCTTCCAAGCGGCTACCACTACTGCGTATGCAACTTTTTCGAGTAGGGGGTAGTGAGTCTCGGCGTCCGTCAGAGTGTGGCTGACGAAGTAGATCGGCTTTTGGACTTTATTTTCTTCCTTCAGCAGGACCGCACTTATGGTGGTTGGGCTGACTGCCACGTACAAGTACAGCGTTTCTCCTTCGGTTGGATATGCCAATGTCGGGAGTTGAGCTAAGTGCCCACAGAGCTGCTTGAAGGCCTCTTTTTGCTCATCTTCCCAAATGAGCTCCTTTGTTTTTGGGAGCTTCAGCACTTTGAAGAAGGGAAGCCCCTTGTCCGAGGCTCTAGAGATGAACCTGGACAGGGCGACCATTCTTCCGGTGAGACGCTGAACGTCCCTCTTTGTTTTTGGCTCGGGAAGATCAAGCGCTACTTGAACTTTGGCGGGATTCACATCAATCCCCTTTTGCTGACTATGAAGCCCAAGAACTTGGCCAACTTCACGCTGAAGACACACTTCTTCGGATTCAGCTTCATTTGGTGTTTTCTTAAGGTGGCGAAGGTTTTGGCCAGGTCCACAATATGGTATTTGTCCTCTTTACTCTTGACGATTAAATCGTTAACATAGACTTCAATGTTGCGGCCCTTTTGCTCGGAGAAAACCTGATCAACCAGCCTTTGATATGTTGCCCCCCCCCCCATTTTTCAATCCGAAGGGCATCATCTTGTAATTGTACACCCCGACGTTCGTAACGAATGCCTCTTTTGCTCGGTCGTTGGGGTGCATGAAGATCTGATGATACCCCGAGAATGCGTCCATGAAACTAATCAGGGCGTGGCCACTTGTCGAGTCGACTTGCTGATCGATCCTTGGCAAGGGAAAGAAATCCTTCGGACAAGCCCTATTTAGGTTTGTGAAGTCAACGCACATTCTCCAGGTGTCATTTGCCTTCTGAACCATCACCACATTAGCCAACCTTTCAGGATATTGGCAAGGCTCGATGAAGCCTGCATCCAGAAGTTTTTTTGACTTCAGCTGCGATGTCTCGGTTCTTATTAGCGGAGTAATTCCGCTTCTTTTGCTTAACAGGTCGACAGGTGGGGTCGACGTTCAGCTTGTGTGAGATGAGGTTTAGATCAATCCCGGGCATGTCTGCCACCGAGAAAGCGAACACATCTTTGTTCTCCCGAAGGAGTTGGATGAGTTCAACACAAACGTTCGGATGGAGTTCGAGCCTGATACTGACACACTTTTCAGGGTCTCCTTCGGTCAACCCAATTAATTAAGTCTGCTGGTCCAGCTACATTGATTTAGAACCGGACTCTTCATGATCTGGCCTACTGTCAATATCAATGGGCTTCCCAGACTTCGGCTGGCGTTCCAAGTCTTTTGGCCCGGATGAGGAATCAGCCTTTTCTTTCCCCAATAGTTTTTCTTGGTCCGGGGTACTCTAGGACGAAGCACTCAAGTCTTTTTGTTTCTTTGTGCTTCGGTCCCTTTCTTTTTCTTTTTCCTCTTCATCCTCGTCATCGCGGAAACTTTTAGATGGCTTAAGGTAGTTGCATTTGCGGGCTTCCTTATGGCTGCCCTGAATTCTTTAGGAGTGGCCCTCGTTTGAAACGTATATCATCATTTGATGATACGTGGAGATCACTCCTTGAATTTCGTGAATGATGGGTCTCCCCATGATCATGTTGTATGCCGATGGAACATCTACGGCAAAAAATTCGGCCATGATGTTCCAAGTTGCTCGTCTTTGCCGATGGTGACGGGAAGAGTGATCTTCCCATCTGGATATGATGCAGACCCATTAAATCTGGATACCGGGTAGGGTACTAGAGTCAGGTCCTTGGTCTGCAACTTTAGCTAGTCATATGCCTCTCGAAAGAGGATATTTTCTCCACTACCGCTGTTGACGAGGGTTCGCCAGACGTTGTGGTTTGCGATTCCTATGATGATTACCAGCGGGTCATCGTGGGGGTATGCCACCCCCCGACAGTCTTCGGCTGTGAATGAAAAGTTCGGCGCCAGAGACTTTGGGCCTTGGATGGCGGCATGGTTGACTTGATGGGTTAAACCCCTCAAGTGGCGCTTCTGAGCGTTTCGGGAGCTCGTCCCCCCAGAAATGACAAGGATATCAATATTATCTTTATCTTACGGCTTGTCCTTTTTCTTTGGGAAATCCAGTTGCTACCGAGAGTCTTGCCCGACCTTTTTTTCCTCGCGTCGATCCGCGAGGTAATTTTTCAGGTAGCCCTTTTGGACCATATCTTCGATCTAATCTTTCAGCTGGATACAGTCCTTAGTGTGGTGTCCCGAAGATTCGTGGAACTCAAACCATCGGCCTTTATTCTTCTGCTGGTGCCACGATGGCAGTGGCCTCGGCTTCTTCCACTTTTGATCGTCCTTCGTTATGCTATAAATTTTAGCACGCGGAAGGGCGATAGGAGTGTAAGATTCGTATTTCCAAACAAATGGGGTTTTTTTATTTTTTTCGGCTCAGTAGCCGAGGACGGTTCTGAGACTTTCGCCTTCCCTTTCCTTTGGCTCTAGCCCTCGGATGATTGTCCTTTTGTTTTACCAATCCAAGTTTGAGCTTGGGACTTGGTCTTGTTTTATTCTTCAACTCGGATGTACTTATATGAAGCTTCCAAAGCTTCCTCCAAGGTCTACAGGGTGTGCATGACCATGAAGCCAAGGAACTTTCCAGCCTGTAGCCCATTTCGCAGTGCAAAAACGACTAGCCCCTGGTCCAGACTCGTAATTCTAGACGACTCGTTGCTGAAGCTAGTGAGATAGTCTCGGAGGCTTTCGTCCTCCCCTTACTGTAGGCTCATCAGCTCTGCAGTCGTCTTCTCTCGGCGGTTTGCTGTAGAAAACTTGCTCTTAAACTTGTTGGAAAGGTCTTTCCAACCAGTTATAGAACCTTCCTTCACTCCCTCGGTGATCCATGCTTGTGCAACACCCTTGAGACTGGTTGGGAAATATTTACACCAAGTCGCTTCGGACCTGGGCTTTAGATACATATGCCCCTCGTAAGAGGCAATATGGTCCTTTGGATCCGAAGTTCCGTCATATGTTATGTCCGCTGATATTTTCACTATCGGCACATGTTCTTCTAGAATCCAGCTCTTGAAGGGTGAACTGGTGGGTACCATCACGGCTTTCCCCTTGTACCCAGCAGAAGGGACCTCGCTTCGCCCTCTTAGAGAAGTAGAAGTGGTTTTTGTCCTCGGCTGGGACGGTGCGGGGTATGGTGCAGTCCCTTCTGGGTAAGTGAGGCGACTGTGCACGCTCACCTCCCTTGAGCCGATACGTTCGTGAACGTTTCGGCGAGCAGGTTATGGCCATGCGGAGGTGGTGTTATCGCTTTTGAAACTTCGAGTTTCGGATTCCACTAAGAATTTTCTCTTTCTTTCCCGTTCAGTTCTCCAAATATCCTCTTCCCATCTCTCTCCGAGCTCCGTAAAAGATGGAGCTCGCCCGGCGTCCTCTTGGCTGGTCCTCCTTCTCAGGTTTCTCGGCTGCTGAGGAGTGTTGGCGTGGACTAATTAGCTAGGAGGTGGCGGAAAATTGCCTACTTGGGCCTTCATGAGGTCCATGAAGACTGCGAAGGCTTTTGCTACCTCCTCTATGGTGGGACCCGTTTGAGGTGTCGGGTGAAATTGTGAGTGTAGGCTAGGTGTTGGGCTCCTAGCATAGGTCTGACTCGGCCGACGAGTCCTCGACGACAGTTGAGTGTGATGAGATGGTGACCTCCCGGGTGCAGCTTTCTCCGAAGAGACTGCGTCCGAAGAAGATGATGAAGGTGGTTGGCCCCTCTTTGAGAAAGTAGGACCATTATTTTTGGTGCTCTTAGCTCTCTTTCCACTCTCAGTCATGTTGCTAAGATTGGTTGGTCTTTGGCTTGTTTTTTGAGAGTCTTCCCCAAAGACGGCGCCAAATTGTTTTGGATGAAAACAATAGGTCCTTCATTTGGGCCTTTCTGGTGGGCTGAAGACTGGACTCGACCCAAGTGATGGTTTCCTGCACAACAAACACACGTAAACCGGCCTCGGGGGTTGCATCAAGGAAGACCCCTTCGATGCCGAAATCAGTACAGTGTTTAGAGAGAGAAAGCTATGCAAGAGTATTAATTGCTTGAGGCTTAAATTGAATGAATGTAGAAAGAGGAGAATGAAGGCTTTTATACCTTTCTCAATAGATAAGTGGGCTTTGGGGTCAAATGGGCTTGTCATGTTAACTAGGCCTTTGACTGACTTGGCACTTGATTGGAGAATTGAACCTTGCTTTTGGGCTTTGTAATTGTGCCATTTGAGGACCGGTCCAATTAAAGTAAATTGGACCCATTGTAGATAAAGGGCAACTCCAGGATATTAAATTTAATGCATTTGAATAGGAATTTGGATGGAAAAGGAAATGAATGGACTATCAATTGCTCCATTTTCTTTTTTAAAGTCTAAAATTTAAATAACCATATAACCCATTAATCTATAAGAAATAATTTATGTTAATGAATCTTGTTAGATACTTAGATTCAATTTATCAACATGTAGTTTAACATATTAACAATCAAAAGTGTTTTTAACTTCTAAGAGACAATAAGAAAGTAAATGACATACTTTAAGAGACGGATAGAGTATTTGGTTTTATTTGCATTAAGACTATCCATTTTCACATTAGGATTGGAATTTCGAGCCAAAAAGTTTAATATTCATGTATCAGACCTACAAATGGCACATTAGGCCAGGCCGACTCAAGCACCAAAAACCATGGCACAACAGTGTATGCATGACACGACACGATACATATGTGACGACTATAGGCTAACCTTGGGCCACCTTTATCTGTGAGAAACACGACAAAGCATGACGCGATCTGGCCTTACACGACAAAACACGCTATGATCATGAAATTTGGCTTAGGCACGCCACACACATGTTGCATGCACAACACGAGCGGTCAAGGCATAGTGGCACATGGCTCGGGCCATGCAGACCTTTTAAAAAATTTTGATACAGCACAACACGTAGCTTGTGGGCTAGGCTAACCCAAAGCATGTGGGTCCCTACACGATCCATAAGCCAACACTCCACAACCATCTTTATTTTTTGGCATTAAAAGAAGCCCAAAACTTCCGGTTGAATCCGGGTCTTCAGACAGTTTGTGTAGAATTTCTGAAATTGTGAAAGCTAAAAAATGCTGGCACTCACTTCATCTCCTACCTTCTGCCAATTCCCTCCACGCCAAACAATTGGATTTAGGGTTTCAACCTTCGTCAAAGCCTTCTCCACCACCTCTTCCGCTGACGGTGTAAGAACCAACTATGAAGGAGTTAAATTGGAGGAGAAAGTGACGGTCGAAGGCGTCGCTAAAACTAGGCTTGACGCTTGGATTTCTTCCAAAATTAATGGAATTAGCAGAGCTAGGGTTCAATCCAGTATTCGCGCTGGCCTTGTCTGCGTTAATGGCCGCGTTGTCGATAAGGTATTACTATTCCCATTTCTCTATTTCATGTTCTGGATTTATCATTTTTGTACAAATTGTTGCATACTTGCATTCTAATGTTGATTTACTTGTTAACTTAATAATTAATGTTTTTTATAAGTAACGTTTTGCTTGAAAATTTTGCTTATACTCGAAATTCTCTGCCTCTAATAATTTGAGTCTTGACTCCAATAATGTTTGTTGGTATAAAATTGTGCTTGTATCACCATTATACCAAAATACTCCTACTATAATACCAACAAATGTAAAATGCGTTATTGGTATCTCTAGTATTCTTTTTTGCTATTAAGATAATACCATCAAGCTACAATTGTATACCAACATGCGGTATTAGACTCATTAATGACTCAAGTTATTAGAGACTGAGAAATGCTCGTTTGGTAGGAAGTAATAAAACGGGCAAACAGTGGTAATGGTGAAGGATTTATTTGGTGATGATTATGGTAAAATTGGTAATGGTATATATTATGCAAAACAAATCAAGACAATGTTATGATAATGATAATGGAGATGGTATATACACACATCAAGATTATACTATGGTATACTTTGTACAAAGTATTTAAGAACTATAATGTTATATTTTTTGATATTATATATTTATATCATATAGAATAAGAATGATGAAATATATAAAGATGGTCATTGAATATTCAATCATTTGGAGTTTGTGAGAGTTTTGTAGAATGTGAATGTTGAAATAAATAAATTACGATTATGCTACTTCATTTGTGAGAGTTTTGTAAATCAAAGAGACCTCCCCGTCATTTGTCAATAATAAACAAAAAAAAAAAAGTAATTTATTTTATTTTAAGGGACAGTCTAAAATAGAAATGTCGTCTATTGTTTAGGGTATGATATAGTAATTATTGGCTTGTTGAAATTCTCACTAGGGTGGTCATTGTTTTTGCAGGTATCATATGGTGTTAGAACAGGGGATGAAATAAACTGCACTATAGCAAAACTGCAACCATTGAGGGCTGATGCAGAGGATATACCTTTGGACATTACATATGAGGATGATCATGTTTTAGTTGTGAATAAACCTCCACATATGGTAAGGATTCATATGTCATAGTTTGTTGATGGTCTTTTATACTCCATTAATTAGCTATGCTACCTATTGATTAAAAGTTACGTGCTTTATTATTCATTGGGAGCTTATTTGTTTTGAAATGAGGTTGTCCATCACATAAGCGTTCTAAGGTTTCTACTGCTGTATGAAGATTTAAGGAACTGTTATGTGACTACTATATCCACATGACCTCTTGAATCCAACCCATAAAAAAACTATTGATCTCATCCTACATTTAGTCCTTTGCAATTGCTGACGTGTGATAGATGTCAAATCTTTCTGAACTTATCATGTATATAATTAGAATTTATTCAAAAGGGTTTATATTGAAATGATATCCTTGATACAAGAGATATAGTAATCTGATTCTGTACAGATATAAAAAAATGTTAATGTTTGTCATGCACCTTCCATTGTGAGAGCTTATTCCTGTTGGAAGCAATACTAGAAATTTTATTAATAATTGGCTTCCAGAAAGTAATTGAATATCATCAAAAGTTTCCAGAATCATATATGTAGATTATCTGCGATAGCTCTTGTCTTTAGTGTGATGGATGCCCATTCTAGCTTTGAAAGTTATTAGCTGTCTGATTCAGGCATTTGTTTGTGTCTACATCTGTACATCAATATATTTCTCCTTTCATTTCTTTATTTTAAGTCTTGTTTGGAATGATATTAGATTCTAATGCAATTATTATCTAGTACTCTTTCAATAAATAGTCATCCCAATGTGTTATTTCATAAAATCAAGTTTATTTATTTATTTATTTTTTTTTTTTTTATTTTTTTTATTTTTTGGTATTATACATAATTCCATATAGAAGATATTTATACTTGAATGTGTGAATTAGAAATCATTTAAAAAGTAAAATAGTACTAACAAAAACAAATAGGGCGTAATTGTGAGGTTTTTTTTTTTTTGGACTAATAAAAAGTAAAATAGGACTAACAAAGAGAAACAGGGGTAGAATCATGCAAAGAGTATTTGTGAGATTCTTTGCTTTAGAGATGGATGAGAAATTACGTGTCCATCAAAATTTGTAAATTATAAGTGTATGGTACAGATGTAATCAGCATTCCTACCTAGCTTAATGCTGTGAATATCTATACTGTGATTAGGTTGTCCATCCTGCACCTGGAAATCCAAGGGGCACTCTTGTTAATGCAATTTTGAACCATTGCAGTCTCCCCAATGTTGCATTAACTGATGTTGGGTGGCTATCTGAGGCAGATGACGTGTCTGAGGATGATCTCAATATAGACATCCATCCTACAGATCAAACTACTTGTGAAGATGCATCCTGTTCAATTCGCCCTGGGATAGTGCACAGGCTAGACAAAGGCACTAGTGGATTGCTGGTTGTTGCTAAGGTAAGATTTATAATATTTTACAGGATGCTTTTTTTCTATTGCAACTGAAGAGATGAAATGGTTCACGTAATTATAAATTTTGTAAAAATTATGTGCTGTTCACAGGATGAACATTCTCATGCTCATTTGGCAGAGCAATTTAAGGCCCATACAGTGACCAGAGTTTACTTGAGTGTCACTTCCGGGGTGCCTACCTATGCTTCTGGCCGCGTTGAGGTTCCAATTGGTCGTGATCTAAATAATCGAATTCGGATGACTGCTGTTACTGGACATAAATCCGGACCTGCGAGACATGCTGCAAGTAGGTAAATTATGTCTCTAAGTCTCTAACACCACATAATAATGTTTTTAAGATCCTTTCACTGTCTCACTGAAAAAAAAAAAAATTAATAATAATAATAAAATAAATAAATTGCTTCCAACGACCTAAACAAAATTTGGCTAGTATACACAATATAGTACCTCATAGGCTCATATATTGATATACATACATCATAACTCCATATGTTTGTTTTTAATGGGAAATTACCTATACTCAAATGTAATACTTCCTCCGTTCCATTTTTACAAGTATTGTTAAAATTATTGTGAGTATTGATAATATAAATTTTTTGAAATAAGATCATACCATTGACCAAGTTTTGTCATAATCTTATACTACACCAACAACAACAAAGCCTTAGTCCCAAAATAATTTGGGGTCGGCTAACATGAATCGTCATAAGGAATCATACGATATAAAGAGAAAGGCATAACAAGATCATCATTTAAAAGAGTTTGAAAAAAGGTGAGTAAACGAAAGAGCATTTAAGAAAAAAAATTAAGGGAGTTTTAAAGGGAACCAAAAATAAAATTCAAGAAAGTTTTAAAAGAGTGGTTAAAACGTTGAAGTAGAAAACATAAAGGTTTGTAAAACTTTAGTAAAGGAAAACAATACAATTCATAAAACATTGGTGGGATAAAAACAAAATTAAATACAAATCCAAATAAATTTAGAAAATATATATAATCACGACACGTCATTGACGTGAATTTTCTCCCTCCACACCACCCTATCCAACACCATATTTTCCTCAATCCCCAAAGCACTCATGTCACTATCAATCACCCTCCTCCAAGTTTTCTTAGGTCTTCCCCTACCTCTCGCGATCCCAACACTTTGCAATCCTTCAAGCCTCCTTTCCAGAGCGTCATTTGGTCTCCTTTTTACATGGCCAAACCATCTTAAGCGATTCTTTCTCATCTTGTACTCAATCGATGTAACCCCTACTTTCTTCCTCATTATCTCATTCCTCAATTGATCCTTTCTTGTATGACCACACATCAATCGCAACATGCGCATCTCTGCCACATTCATCTTATGCACGTGGCAATGCTTTACGGCCTAATATTTTGTACCATATAGCAAAGCAGCCTTTTTGCCGTTCGGTAGAATTTCCCCTTTAATCTATGGGGTACGCCTGGATCACATAAAAAACTCGTCGCACTCTTCCACTTCAACCAACCTGCTTTAATCTTATGAGCTACATCTCCATCCAATTCTCCATCCTTTTGAATAATAGATCCCGGATATCGGAAGACCTCACAATTTTGAACACTCTTCCCATCCAAGGTGATCACCCGTGCCTCATTGTTTCCCACACCGCTAAACTGACATTCCAAATACTCCGTCTTACTTCTGCTCACCTTCAAGCCATGGGACTCCAAAGTCCGTCTCCACAATTCCAACTTACTTTCCACACCTTCTTTCGTCTCGTCAATCAACACAATATCATCAGCAAACATCATGCACCATGGTATATCATCCATAGAATAAAAATGCGGTTTTTTTTGCGATCGCGGACAGTCGCGGTATCACGGTATCAGAATTGATGCGTTAGTCGCGGGCTGGGTTGCGGTTGTGGCGCCATAATTTTGTTTTAAATTTATTAAACCTAAAACTATATTTTAGAACTTTATTTTATTTAAATCTAAATTTTATAATTAATCAAGTCTATAAAAGTCGAATTTCACTAAACAAAATCGAAGGAGTCCATATTAAGTCTGGAGTTGTACACAGCTGTGTACTAAGTTAAAAACTTGGCAAGTAGAGAGGTCCACAAAAGTACCCACATGGGGATGTTTGATTTAAAAATAAATAAATAAATAAATAATTCTACCCCACTATCCCCAACTACCCACTTGAGGGAGTTTATTTAAAAAATAATAAATAAATAAATAAAAAAAATACCCTGCCAGCTCACACTCTCTCACCTGCTCAAGTACTTTCTTTCTCCTATAGCAAAGAACTCTCTTGACTTTAATGGAAGTTTTCTCCATTTTTTTTTATTTTTCCCTTTCTTTTCCTTTAAAAAGCAAGTACTTCATCGGATCGGCCAAAATCTTGGTGTTTTAAAAAAACACCGCATCAAGGCGGCAAATCTCGGATCAGTAGCTTTGAAATCCTGTACATATCGGTCGAATGGTGACGTACCGGCCGCATTTTTATACTTCTTGAATTGAACTCGTCAATTCGTCCATGACTATAGCAAAAAGAAAATGACTAAGTGATGAACTCCCTCATACATGTCCTTAATGATGTCAATATATTTCCGCGAAACGCCTTTCCTTGTTAAAGCCCACTAAATAATCTCCCTTGGTACCTTATCATAAGCCTTCTCCAAATCAATATCCCGATAGATCTCCATTAGCTGTCTCATAAGATGGATTGCCTCCACAGTCGATCTTCAAGGCATAAATCTAAATTGGTTTTCCGAGATCTTCACACTTCTCCTTAACCTTTGTTCTATAACTCGCTCCCTTCCATTTTTTTTAATTGTTTCTTATTGACTTTTGTGTTTTCAATGAATACATTGACCATTTATTTCTAAATATATTTAAATAAAAATTGAAGGAAGTTGATTTTTTGAAAAAATACATTGAGACAAATCCAATAATATTGTACATGATAATATGTGTTTTTATATTAGTAAAAATGTGTGGTTAAAAGTAAGATATGTGAATAATGTAGAAGTCAATGGTTGGTGGGAGTACCATAATAGAAAATGTAATTATAGCTTATATATGCTCCTGAAAGCTTGTATTCAAAAAACCATAATATTAGTGTAAAGATAATTTGAACTTATATTGCGGTCACGTGCTCACCACAAGTATTCTTTAATTATTTTTATTGGAAAATGTTTTGAAAAATGTTAAAACCTCTCAAATTGCAATTGTGAAGTGAATCTTCTAAGCCATTTTATGCCACAAAAACCCTGAAAAATAATGTAACTCCTCCCAGCTTCCCCTTCTGCAATACGACAACCATCACCATGGTCATTACTGTATTTTGTATTTCCTATTGTTTTGTTAAAAAAAAAAAAAAAAAGGTAAGGAGAATGAGTGGTAGGAAAAAGCTGATCATTACAAGAAATTTGACATGTGATGATTATGACAAATTATGGTTGCAATTCTATTAGCAGGATGATTTTTCCATTTGGAAATAGGGTAGCTTCCTTTGAAATGGGGGCCGGGGGGGGGGGGGGGGGTTGGGGTGGGGGTGGGGTGGGGGTGGGGGTGGTGGGCTGTGTATTAAACTTCCCTTTTACATTTTAAAGTAATTATGTTTCTTTCTTGACCAGACCCTAGTCTTGCCTAGATTTATTTTGTTACAAATACCTAAAAGTATATAGTGATGCATCATCTAAGAAAGGCTGATGAATTTGGTAGACATTGTGTATAACACCGTGAAATGGGTCAGATGTGTAACTTTTGGTGTAGGGTCAATGTATTTCAGGTTGGATTGAGAAATGTTCTAATAACTTTTGTGTTTGAATCAATCATACAAGTCAATGACTCCTGTTTTGGTTTTTATCTAACAATTTTATTAATCAATGTACCTGTAATACCTTCAAATTTTTCTTTCCTTTCTCTTGTGTCTGCAGGTACAAAGTACTTGAAGTATTAGCTAATGGAGGCGCAGCATTAGTTGAATGGAGATTGGAAACTGGACGTACACATCAGGTATAAAAAGTACTGCAGAACTCCCATTTTTCTGACCCATTAAAATAGAGAATTGATGAAGGTGTTGATATTTGCTCAACTGCTCACTGTTTTAGATGTATTCTGCATTCCAAATCCAGTATTGACTTATGAGATTTGAATGATGGTGAATTGGTGACTAGGCGTGCTTTGTTTCTCTTGTCTTAAAGTTTGCTAACATATTTTTATTTTTAGTAAAGCATTCTAGGGGAATCATCATATGATTATAATTTGAGCAGTAGCTTTTATCAGTCTTGTGGTTTACAAGAATCTTGTTATTCCAATTGCTATACAGACTGTTGGGAATTTCATCCCAAGTCCCACATGGAAGAAATAGCAAGGGAAGGAGCTATTTATAAAGTGATGTTCAATACACTAGTACAAAGCCTTTTGGGAAGGAGCCCAAAAACAAAACCGTGCGGGCTTGGCCCAAAGCGGACAATATTGTACTAGTGTATGACACAGACTACCTAAGTGCCTATCAAAGGATTACCATCTAGTTTAGTCAGTTGAAGTCTTAGAGGGTGGTACCTAAAACTTGAGTTCAAATTCCACTTACATCATATGCTCTTGGGTTCTCTATAAACCAAAATAAAGAAATAAAGAAAGAAAATTCTGCCCTTTCAAATGTCATTGGCTGTCTTAGCACTTAAGGTGAAACAACTGAGACTAAGCATCACTGAAAAGAAGGTCATTAATGTGCTTAAATCAATCAAAGCCATTATCAAACTCCAACATTTACTTGCTTAGATTAGATGGAGATGTCATATGTGTGTATAAATCTTGTGCTGCAATCTATAAACCTATACTAAAAGCAAATATTGACAAGACACTTGTCACGTTGTGGTGAAAAATTTTCCCTCCAATTTGCTTTTTCTTTTTTTTTTTTTTTTTTGCTCTCCTTTTATTTAATGTAAATAAAGTAATTTTGTCCTACCATAAAAACCAACAAAATCTTATTAAATTTAGAAAATTAATCTAATATTACCATTGACAACCACCAAAATATTATTTTAGGTACATTATTATTGAATTAATATAATTTCTTAGGAAAATTAGTAAATACCGTGTGTGACATGGGACTATAGCTAGTTCCAGAATAAAGTGGAATAATTCTATGTGCATAGTGTGCTCAATAATATGTTGTGTTCTATTATAAGACTTAGGAGATGTTTTAATTCCCTTTTGTTGGAACAATATTGTAGGCTCCCTTGCCATATTACTTTGCCTCAAGTGAACTTACTTTTCAGTGCTACCATTAGTTTGTAATGTACACGGATCTTTCTCTGTGATCTACTCTATAAAGGATTTATAAGTTGGTCTGAACTTGCTTCCGTATTGTTGCTCATTAAATTTGCCATGCATGTGTCCTGGTGTTTGATGAAGATTCGGGTGCATGCAAAGTACATGGGCATTCCATTACTGGGAGATGAATTGTATGGTGGGACCAAGGATATGGCCTTATCGTTGCTTCGACCAAGAACCCCATCCACATGTTATTTACAGCTCAGTGATCTGGTTTCCAGCATAGAAAGGCCCTGCCTCCATGCTATGGTTCTTGGGTGAGAAGTAAAATCTATTAATTTTACTTTCCGTTCTAAATTTGAGCAATAGTTGCAAAGTTCTTAATATTGTTACTACTCTTTTTTTAGGTTTAAGCATCCGTGTACTGGCAAATACATGCATTTTTCATGCCCTCCACCTGCTGATCTTGCTGAAATATTGAGTCAGCTACGCAATATCTCAAAATAAATTGGTGCTTAAATTCTGCGGATACCACATGTTCTTGTCAAGGTCCACTGAGTGGTGCTTCAACACTTCCTTTCAAGGGACAGCAAGCAAATAGCGCTCTGGATGTTTGCAAGGACCAAGGTAGATAGAAACTAACCAATGACATTTATAGGAATTAGGATTTAGGAACATACATTAGACCAATCAATATATGCTTTCAGGTTCGTAAAAAGTAACTGTCCAGGGCTATATAGTAATTGTTATATGTTCTCTTGCCCTATTTTTTTCTTCCTTGTGGAGATTGATTTGTCAGTGAACTTTTCGTCCAATGATCTTACAAGGATGTCCTTGAAGTTTATTCCTTGGTTAGTGAGTAGTGCTCAAACTCTGATAGCTATCCTTTGCATCACCCTTCGCCCTACCCATGCTATTTTAAGGGCTTGGGTAATCTGTCTTTATTATAGCTAAGTAGTTTGCTCTGTCTGTCGGGACTCGGGATCATTCATAGCCAATTGCACTTAATATCAGGATGACTTATAGTGTTCATCATGCCAAATTAATTATTATCATTGCCAAGAAATGGTGTGAAAAAAGTATGGATCAACAATATTGTGTTTTCTTGATGTATTACGTGAATTAGTGTTATGTTGGATTTGGCTTGATCCGACCTTGTTGTATTTTGCCGCTACTAGGCTTCTTGTCAACTCTGCAGTTGATTGATATTTGTGGTGTTCAGTTCTGTAGGTGCTGATTGTAGGAAGAGACTATCATGGTTCAGCAAGTCCAGTCTAAAGCCAACGTTCACTTCACATATGCTAGACACAACGGGGAGGATAAGATGAGTAATTCCACTATATTTTGCGGAGATTTTGCTATGATATGCCCTGTGAAGGAAGCTCTTACAGTGATAGTTAATCACACTTGTATAGATGGTTTTCATGTCACCTTAATACAATTAGCTTTTGTTACTCTACTTTTGCATCTTCTCTTCTATTTCAAATTATTATCAAACAAATTATGGAAGTATGAAAAGGGACTTGGAAGTCTCAGTAAAATTTTCCAAATACTTTGTATTACAAAATAATTCTGTATATGTATACTTTAAATAAATGGTACAGGGTCATAGCATCTGCATATAGGTTTTACATTTGAGTTGATTCTTATGGAAGGGAACAGTTGGATTGTTCTAAAGGAATTCCCTATATGAGCTCCCTCTAAGTTTTGTACTCGAATTCAATTTTCATTTGCAATTTACGCGTGGAAGTGGGTTCTTGGTCGAAGCAATGATAAGTCCATGGTCTTTATATAAGGAGTTTGTGGTCTACTATATGCATGTTTAACCATCGATATCTTAGTTTCTTGATAATTAAATATTGTAGAATTTTCTATTATAAAATTACATATTGAAAATGAATCTAAACGATTTCTCAGTGGAATTAAGTTGATTATTCACAAAGGCTTTGTTAGAAAACAGATTTTGGGAAAATGATTTTCTCAATTTCAAGTGGCAAAACTGTAAATGAATTAGCTACATTACATATTGAAAATGATTTTGGGAAAAGGCCCGCAGGCGTTGATAGAATTACAAAAATGTCACGCAAGTATGCGTTTCCAAATTACAACATTCCAGCAGCACCAAACTAGAAAAATACTGATATAAAAAGGGAATAAAAGTATAAATGATAACAAGCAATTTGGAAACCTATCATAAAAAGCAATTTGGAAACGCATTTCAGCAGCACCAAAGTATAGAAATACTAACATAAAAAAGGAATAAGGGTATGTTCTGATTTACTGAACTGAGCTGAGCTGAACTATTTACGAGAGAAGGATATTAGGAACTAAACTGAACTGAACTGAAATTAAGCCGAAGAGAGCAGATCCTAAAAGCATAAATGATCCAAAAAAGGAAGAACAGAATAAAAATGAACTCTATTGGAAATTTTTTGCCACCACATCATGAAACACTATACATCTCATAGTTCACATTGTAGCAACCGTGCATATCCCTGAAATAATAGAATGTGTACCACAAGCAGTAAAACCAATTAACCAAGAGAACCGTATAGTATATACTCTTATGCCGCATCAACGTTATCATCTTAATTTTTGTTAAAGTAATTATATATTCACCAATACAATCACTAATGTGTTAGTAACAAAGGCATGCAGTTGCGGTAGGACCCAAAAAACTCAGCTTCAAAATGGTCGTCGATGGACATCTGTAAGATATAAGCCAGAAGGGCTGGCACGATCCGTTAACCTGTCAAAGGATCACATTCTACCAACGTTATTGAAATGCTTAACATGACAAATCCAACAGATCATATATTCTCTTCGTAATGCTATTCTCGCCAAGAAGTTATAATTGGCATGGCACCTCCATGTTCTATATGGACCTTTTTTGTCTACAAAAGTTACACTAAACTTCAATCTTGTCACCTCCCAATAAACAAGAAAGTGATCTTGTATCCAGCTAATGGCTGAATGTTATCCAAAACAAATGATTAGCACTTGCACATTAGAAAACACATCTTATAAGTACTTTCTTCATCCCAGAAAACTTTCAAATATATAATAGTGCATGAGATAAATTGCAGATGTGTTGCCTAATATTAGTTTGATAGTGAAGTATATCGGATGGGAGTTCATGATAAAGGTACGTGAGAAAGGAGATAGTGGATCAAACAAGAGACATGAGAAAAAAAAAATATGTGACCTTTTCCAAAGGCAGTGTCCAAACTATTAGAACATATGAAAAGGGAAGCATTCAAATTATATTTGGACGGAGGGAGTATAAAAAAATGGTGGTTTTATCCAACAATATTACCGAATTTAACAATTTATACAATGTACATCTTATTACATTTTCATAAAACATAATCTTTAGTAAAATTCCATTAATCACACACAACAGTTCACTGAAATCATTGTCAAGTATATCAAAAACCATATGTTCAGTTTATAAAAGAAAAAAATTCAAATCAGCATGTGCTATTTATTGTTGTGTAAGATCTACTGCACAAGGCTGAGCAGAACAGTAGACAACTACATAAAAGACCTTTCCATGATTTTCACATACAAGTATAACTCTGAACTCTGAGCGAATCTTTCAGTTTCTGTTGGCTTCTAGGTTGTCCATGAAAAGTATGTACCATGTGGAAATATTTGGGGAAAATTCAGAAAATATCTAACTAAATTCCAAATATATACCTTTCCTTCTAGACTTGAGGAATCTATAACAATTTTAACTTTTTCACGCTTCATGATTTCACTGCTATGACTAGAAGTCAAAGATAGGATACACAGTGCATCCAAAGTCAAACTTACAGTAAATCACCTTGACAGCACCTATATCTTGTATTCCTCAACATGCATCCATTTTGTAGATGACCACTTGTTTCCTTTAATCACTGGGCAGCCACCTGAAACACATCAAGACAAGATTGACAACATCAGAACCATCTGTGTGAGCAGCTAGAGAATGGATCGAGCAACTACTTGAAGAGCCACAAAAAGCTCAAAATACCACACAGCACTACTACTGTTGTGGGATAAACGAGGGGATGGGTATTGTTAAACTTTTTTCCATAGGGGGTTGAAATTAACTGACCATGCAGGCTAGAAGAATCTAATGTTGCATCAGGCCTCATGCTCCAGAAAAGTAAGGCATCACCCATCTTTGGTTTTACAGATAAGCCCCTTTTAGCACAGTCAGACCGCTCATTCCACCCTGGCAGAGAACTAAAATTCCCTCGAGAAGCTGGAAAAACAGTCTCACCACCCTCTTCAACATCTGATCTGCATTGAGAATAACAGAAAATTAGAAGTGGAAAAGATAACACACTCAAAGGGTGAAGGAGAAGTTCAATTCTAGAGAGCTACGGTGGTAATAGGTTGGTTTAGAGATCTTACAAGTACATTAGAACAGTAGCAATCCTTTGGCCGCCATTCTTTTTGTTGAATTCGTCAAGGAAGTAATCATAGTGAGGTTCGTACTTCTGACCTTCTTCATAGTGAAGAATCTGCAATCCCTCACCATGCTCTGTAAATACATAGAAGCAAGAAATGAAGAGAAGCCAACAGAGTTGAGCATCATACTTATGAATCCCATTACTAAAAATAAAATAACAATAATAGTATAATACGAAGAACTAACTAATAAATAAATTATCAGAAGAAAGATAACACAAGGTTTTCCAAGAAAACACATACAAAGTTACATAAGTAGTCACTCTCATCACTCATCAGGACCACAAGAGGTAAAAATCACGAACCCAGAAATTCAAAACTACTATTTTTTAATTAGTCAAAAATTTCAGAAGTTAGAATCCTTAGTAAAAGGTGTTGCTTCTGATCTGCAAGGGTTCAAAGGCTACCTCAAGACAACCCCAATATTCTTTACAGCAATACATAATCAGTCAGGAAGCATACAAACAGTAGAGCATATATGAAGCCCTCAATAGGTTCAATGTTTGATGTGGATTGCCTTCATACAAATTTTTAATGATATGTTAGAAATAACACTGCTAATTTTTGGTCTCCCTTAAAACCAAGAATAGTTTAAATTACACTGGCATTATTGCTGTTCTTCTTGTTAAATTTGACTTGTCAAAGCATTACCTTTTACATCAAAATTCCAAATTCAATTTTCAACAAAACCTTGCTTCTTATTTTTGTTACAGTTCTTAAGTTCCCTGTTCACTCTTGAAATTTCAGTTATATTCTTCTTAGCAGCCATGTTTATTTACTTAATTTAAGACAAGATACTTAAGGCTCTCAGTTTCCTAATGATCTTCTTGCTTTCAGTTTCGGCCACTCATGCATCTTCCTATTTTTGCTTTATTTCTTTTATGGCAAAAATATTCTCTCTTTAACACCTCCTTAACCCAGCACGAAAATTCATTTACACTATTTAACTATACTAATGTCACCAAACCAATAAAATTCCCTAAATAAATGAAAGAGCAAGGAGAGAGAACAGAAGACAAAGAATAGAGAATGAGAGCAGAGGAGGGGAACAGGTGTCTGGATGGTTGGTTAGCTGGTGGCTGGCAGGCCACTGTTCGAGCAGGAAGGAGTGGCTGGCAAGTGGTGGTTTTGGAAATAGTGGGCGGTGGATGGAAAAACGATTGGCGATTGTTCTGATGGTAGTGGGAGGTAGTTGGGCAAGCGGTGATTCCGATGGAAGTTGGTGGTGAAAAAAGTGGGATGGGGGTACATAGAGGATTTCAAATAAAGAGTTAAGGCCAATGAATACGTGGCACGTGGCATCATTAAACAGTCATCGGTTAAAATAGGTGGAAGATTGTCTAGGGAAGAACTCCCACCCCCAATGTAGGGACCACCTTGTGCTCATCAAAAGTTAGGACCACCTTAAGTTCATTGGAGGTTAGGACCGCCTTGAATTCATTGAAAGTTGGGACCTTTGAAATTAGATCACCTTTAGGCCCTGTTCTTTTGAGCTTCTAGGAAGAACACAGCAGGCATAGCAGAGCAGTTGTTGCTGTTATTATTATTAAATATTAATTATTATTGTTATTATTAATTATTATTAAATATTATTAAATATTAATTATTATTATTAATTATTATTAATTAATTACTCCCTCGTAATGTTAGTCCATATACTATTAATTTTCTTGGAATTAATTGGTTGTGGATTGATGACATGGATCTAAGTAAAAAAATTCCTACCTTGAATTATGCATTATGACTTATGCTTTCCAAAAAAAAAAAAAAAAGCCAAAAAACTTAAATAAGGTAAACTAGCTATAAATTATTTTGTACTTTAATGTTAGATTCCAAATATTCTTCTTTTCTTATTTTATGTGATTGATTCTATATGAGATAACATTATGAAACGGAGGGAGTATTATTTTTATTTTTTTTTGAAGCAATTATTATTATTATTATTATTATTATTATTATTATTATTATTATTATTAAATATTAATTATTATTATTATTATTATTATTATTACTACTACGACTACTACTACTACTACTACTACTACTACTACTACTACTACTATTATTATTATTATTATTATTATTAAATATTAATTATTAATATTAAATATTAAATATTATTATTAATTATTTTTTTTAAGCACGGCAGATTTCAGCGAGCAGAGCAGCTCAAAAGAACAAGGCCTTAGTTGGGACTAGTGGCATCAATATTTCCATACAGAAGTACTTCAGAATTGGGGCAAGCATTACCATGAAAATTCTCATGATGCTTTTCTTACAAAAAA